GACCCCTATATCATCATTCTGCTTCATTCTATCTCTAATCTCCAATTCTGCAGAATCTGTTCAATCATTAACATTTTTCTCTCTCTGATTTTTCTTATAGTTGCTTCATCTCGTCTGTTCAAGATTGGCTTGTTTTTCAGTGTAGTCCTGTTTCTCTGACTGTGACTGGCTGGATGTGCTCTCCTAATCCTTTGACATGGGAGCTGGCTCGGAGCTCGTCTGCCTGGCTGTATTTTTCCTAGACAGGGCTGCCTTTTACATTTGTCTTTTGTATTTCTGCTTCTGTCTCCTTGAACCCTATTTGGTCTCGGCAGATGGCCGCTCACACTGAGCCTGGTTCTGCTGGAGGTTTATTCCTGTTAAAAGGGAGTTCTTCCTCTCCACTGTCTCTACAAGCATGCTTAGTGAGAGGGATTACATTCAAGTCAATGAGTCGATGCAATCAACTGGTTTTCCTTAGAAAACTTTGAATCAATTTGACTCTATGATCTGGTGAACTGTATAGTGCCTTGAGATGACATGTTTTGTGAATTGGCACTATATACATAAACTGAACTGAAATTGAATTGAAATGATAAATTCCTTCCTCCTGCAGAAAATACTGAAAGATGAAGCAGGAAAATAACAATCCAAATACATTTTTGTTTATTTAGAAACTTTATACCAAAGGAGCATATCTAATAGCTTTCATAAATTCTAAATGTGACTGTCGGGGAGTGGCGGTCCAGTGGTCAGGGCATAGGGCTTGGAATCTTGAAGTTGTTGGTTCAAAACCCCTTCTCACAGACTGACACCTTGGGTCCTTGAGCAAAGATCCTTAACCCCACACTGCTCCGCAGGTGTCACAAATGGCAGCCCACAAGGGGATGGTTTCAATGCAGAGAGTGAATTTTGTAATGACAGTTAAAAAAAAAGGCTGGTAAATGTAATTTTTTTTATGTTACCTTCATTTAAGATTTTTTGATCCAGCTGATCAAAGTTTGTGCCCACTCCTAAAGTTCTAAGAGCAGCTCTGTTTCCAAGACTTTCCTCCTGTTGTTTTTACCATCCAATCCAAGTTGAGTCCAGTGATGTCAGCCGTTTTCAGAAAAGTTACTAGGAGCAGATGCACCCACCCTTAAATTAAATACCAAATTTTTCCAATAAAAAGTCAGCTTCATCCAGTTTTCAAAGCCAATGGATATTCAAGAGGGATAACCAAAAAAGAATATTCCCCACAGTCTTGCCGTGGTCTGTAATAAATGGTGTCACCTTACATGTAAAGACTTTGATTTTTACAAATATGGGACACTATATGTGCCATCAGCCAGGATGCAGTATCCAAGAGGAAACTATCCAGCAGGCAAACATTTACGTGCAGTATGAGTTTCATCTGATTTTCTGTTGTCAAGTTCAGTTTACATTTACCTTTAAATTAAATGCACTACTGATAGTTTTTATTACAATGTAATGCCTTTATTATGTTAAGGTCCACCAAACTTAAGCAAAAACTGGTTTCTATAAATAATTTATGAATAAAAAGGGCTCCATGAATAACAAAACATACATTTCCATAATTTCATTGTCCCTGATTGACTGGTTTTTAACTTCAACATACATTCTCTGCCTAAGTTGTGCTTAAGTGATAAATCAAATAACAGATTTATTTTAGGAAATTATGATCCAATGAGGTTGTGTGTGTTTTAGCTTTGCTTAAGTCCTGCAAGTGAAAATTCAACAATGGTCAATGTGGGACACCTAGTGACAAAACAACAGAAACACACCCAATTGTTTTTTTTTTCTCGAGCTGAGACGGAATGTGCAGATTCCTGTCTTATTTTCCCAGCGGAACATCGTCGTGACTCCGGTCAGTCTACAGCGGGAGTGAGCGTCACTGGCGACAAGCATGCAGCATGACGTGGAGTTGCACTTGTGCCTCTAACAGGCTGTTTACCTGCGTGGAAACGGGGCAAGGTCGCACATCGTGTCGGTGCAGAAGCTTCATGAGCGGCGGCCGTGCGTAACGCAGGCTCTCCATGGAGGACCGCTGGATCAGCCGCTCTTTGCAATCAACACTTTAAGTAACACTTGAAACAATTATGAATCAAGATACAGAAGGGATTTCCTTCGCCGTGCCTCCTTTCGGTACTGGTCCAAACAGAGAAACTGTCAATGGGGAACATTCCACCAGCAACACCGGTGGAGGTGGTGGAGGAATTCCAGCAGCGGGGACTTTCTGGCAGGATCCCCTGGTTGGAAGCAGCGGACTCAGCCCGACCACCGGGGATGGTCCGATGGAAGCCGGAGGCTCGCTGTCATCCTGCAAGTCGACTAAAAGCAGGCCGGTGACGGTGGCTTATGTGGTGAACGGCGAGGCGAGCCAGCAGAATAACAACGCGGAAAACATGGCCCTACAGTGCCTGAAGGATGCCTGCGACAGGGTGGGCAGCAAGCTGGACACGGTGAACTTTAGCAAACTGGACTTTGGAGAGACAACAGTGCTGGATCGCTTTTACAATGCAGGTTAGTCCAGTTTAACAGAGATCCTACTGGTTCTGCAGCCTGTCCCTTTAAAACTCCTCCAACTTCCTTCAACAAGTAGCTACAATCACCAGAGAAACATGAAACCAGTTTCACTCTCAACACAAAGAGTTAGACAATAATATCACAATGTCAAATATTAATTATAATCCTATCACGTTATTATTACTGTGTAGCTTTTTGCATACATTTTGTAAGTGGAAACTACAAGAGCGACAACTTTGAACAAGTATTTAAAGCAAATTTAAAATATTTTTCTGGATTTTTTGAACCAGATTGGACTTAATTGGGGTTAAAATTCTACCAAAAAGTAGTGTACAAGTGTTGGAATGCTCAAAAGAATCTATGCTCTGTGTAGGTTTACTTGATCAATTTGCAACTTGCACCATCAAACTGAGGTGGTAGTGCATCAATTAGTGGAATCACTTAAGGAAATAATAAACATATACCAATGTAACATAAACACAACAAATATAATAAACATGGCATGCAATAGATCTAACTATTATAATATATTTAAACTGGTTTAACTCAAACCAATTGAATTCTTGCTAATTGGATTTGACTTGCCATGATAAAATCACATATAAATAAAGTAAATAATTTGACATAAAGCCAAAACATGTCTCAAGTGATAAACAGTTCTTTCAAAGGTTTCTAATGGGGTAGAATGCAAACTCAGAATTTCTCTTTCTCTTTTTCCACCAGAGGTCTAATGACAATTCTTAACTATTTCTAAGATGGTTAATTAATTTATAACCTAACACTATAGATGAAGACATAGTTAAAATGTTATAGGGTTTGTCACCAAAGCAATTCTATTGATGTTAGAATTAAATAATTTTTGAAAACCACAGAGAAAATCTAATATGCCTGTTTAATAATTTTTTTTTGTGCATATAATCACTCATGTACAGTTCATTAGTTTTTATCTTCTTGTTGAAGCCTTTCAGGTCAATCCTCTAAAATGATTTGATCACATTTATGTCGGTCCTCCATTACTATGATTACATTCCTGTAAAGAGAGTTAATCCCCTCTTGAAGTGTGAATACACCATGAGAGTGACATATTTCTGCAAAGCTCTGTTCTAAGAAAGTGTTTTTAGCATTAGGAAACATTTCTCAGTGCTTCTCAAACCCGACTAAAGCAGAGCTCTGCATGTCAGGGCTTGATGGTAGAACATAGATGCCATAGTTGTTTCCAAACTGAACAGAGTTTTTGTATTTTTTTGCATTGTTTTCACTGCTTCTCCAATGATGTATTGCAAAAAATTAAAACAGATATCTTTTTAGGAAATCACTTGTGGCCTGCATCGACAGGAGCACACCACCAATGTTTTCATGTTTTAGGTTGTAGTTCCAGGACTTTCTCTGCAGACATAACAAAGATTCACAACATTTTTTTCGTATACAGAAACGACCAAAGACTACAGCTTAGTTCTTATCATGAAAATCATCATAAACACGAAACATTCCTTACCTCTTTTTCACCTCAAAGTTGTTATGTGTTGGAGAAGAAGAAAAGTATATCCTTCTTTCTAACCGTTTGACCTGATTGGTGTTTTTTATAGCATTTCTGCAACTTAATAACCTAATATTAAAATATTATCATAAAACTATTTGCTTTACCTTTTTAGACTTTTTTTTTTTAGTCTATATTATTGGGATTTTTAGGATTGTTGCCTCACAGCAAAGAGGCCTTGAGGTCAAATCCCAGTCAGGTCCTTTCTGTATGATATATCCAGTTCTCCTTGTGCATGCAGGAGTTCTCTCTGGGTACCCTAGTTTACTCCTGTCATTCAAAAACTTTCCTGTCAAGTAAATTGCTCTGTTGCTCTGCAGGGAATAGAAAATAGAGGAAAGGATGCTAATTTTATCAAACTGTTTGCATATATTGGGGGGAAAGAAGATTATCAATAAATAGGCTGCACAATATTATAAGTATATGGTGATAAACCAACATTTTTTTATTTAATCATGTATTTCTTACACTTTGAAAAGGAATTCATGCGACTGTTGAATCTATTGAAGAATATTTAGTTACTTTAACACTTTTGTTTCATTAAACAATAGTGACCAAAAGGGCTTTAATAAAACCAACAGTTGCATATTGGTTCTACCACCATCATATATATCTATATAACGTGTTGGAATATTAAAAAAATGGAAGCCGATTTAGGTGGCAAAATATCAAGCAGGCTTTTAATGAGTCATACGTGACCTACCTACTTTAAAATGAAACTCCTTTACTTTGCTCTCTGTTTAAATCCAAATAAAACCATTTTTATTGGGATGAATCTTTAAAATGTCCCCGGTTTGCCTCTTGATCCTGCTAGGCAGGTTAAGTAATTCTTGTTGCCCTAGTAAAAGATTATAGTGAAACAGAGGTTTTGCTTTTGTTCCAATTAACAGGCTTGTTGCTTCTTGTGTTATCAATGGTACCAATGCATTAGGTTCCCTGTTTCTTTTTTGTCTCACTTCTAGAAAAACAGGAAATTCTCATGATAAAAAACAATGAAGTCACTGGTGTTTTCCCAGAAAAACTCTTTTGTGCTTGCACATACTTCTTCACCCTCCTTCTACTAGTTTAGGAGTGTGCAGGGGATTAAAACAAAACAAAAGAAGGTTAAACAGCCTAAGAGGCAGAGATCAACAAACTCAGACTGAACCAGAATGGTTCTTAGGAATCAGTCTGTGAAAGGCCTCCTCACATGATGCCTTTGGACGAAGGGTGTAGTTGGTGCATTTGGCTGAATGATGCCTACCAACGCTTTAGGCTTAAACATACAAAGAAAACAGATAAGCAAAAATTAGACAACAACATTAATAGTTGTCCAAATCTTATCAAATTACCCATAATCCTACAGAAGAACATTGGTTCTCATTACAGTCGGCATTCAGGGCTTATTCATCAGCTATAAATTCCTCAGTCTGATTAACATGTAGCTATTTGTTTTGCTGGGTGTTGATAATCTTTTAATACATTTGGTCTCATAGTTTAAATGAAATGCTTAAATCAGGACAAATATAGTTACATTATGGTTGCTACTAACATACAACTTTTTGTTTGAATCACATCTGTGTGGTTCAATGTATTTGGTTCAGTGCTGCTGTTTATTTCTTGAACATTCAGATCTAAAAAGTGTTTTTATTTCACTACTGTAGTCACATTATTTAGTGTTTGATTTTATTTGAATCCAGTCCTTTTAGTGAATATGATGCAAATGCTGCTAATAATGGAGTGTGTTTCCTGTCAGATTTGGCAGGGAAACAAATAACAGAGGGGGTTTGGTTAATACCACTGCGCCTGATCTGGAGGACTCAGCATGCCCTTTCCTCATTTAGAGAAATATAGTGTCTGTAGTTTAGTTTTAATCAGATGGAGTGTGAAGCCATTTGTATTAGGAAGGAAGGAAGGAACGAAGGAACGAACGAACAAACGAGCGAACGGTCACTGGTCATTTTTTTTGCTAAACTTTAAAGGAAT